TTGTAAACTCTTGCAAATCTAATAAAATCTAATTAATAAGGGACAAACCGAACTCTACTGAGGACCAATTTAAATTGCGTAATGAAAAACAAATTGAACTCTACTGACGACCAAACTAACAAAATGATATCAAAATTAACTTATGTGCTATACCTACATATAATAGATTTAAATATAAAACTAGGGGTGCATGGCATCGTGCCTTAAGGCAAATTGCTGGAAATCCCCGTACCAGAATTAAATATTCGATGAAAAAAATCAGTAATCAATAAATATTGATCAATGATTATAATAAACAATCGTTTTAAACATTTTCAAATAGATAATTATAATCACTATATAATTTATCGTTCATAAAATATACAGTGACGACCTTATATACAGTGACGACCTTATCGCTCAAAAAGCTTGAAAATGTTTACGTTAACAAGAGATTTCGAATAAATCCATCTGAGGATATATTTCTCACGATTAGAATAACGCATTTGTAATATTTACATGTTCAAATCTGGTTTGTAAATTTAAAATTCATATTTGAAGTATAAAACTTTGTATATTTTTGAAAATTTTGAAATTTGCTTCGTATAAGAATCGACTTGAATCGACGAAGTCAAAAATCTGTTCACACATATACTTTTTCCAAGTGTTGGTCTCATTCGATTCAGAATGACTTGAGACGTCAAGAAACCAAACTTCTGCTTCGGTAAGTTATTTATTAAATACAACAATAAATAACTAAATAATTCTAATCAATAAATAAAGATGCAACATACACATAACATTTATTAAATTCTAATAAAATACAGGCTCGCGTTAAAAGTGACTTTGACAATCACTGCTATTTAGGCAAATTATTTCGTAAGTGCGATTTTTTTCTTTCGCACCAGTTTCAAATAGGAATTTGTTCAGCGCGTACTATAGTTATTAATAAAATAGTAAAATAATTAATAAATAGTGAGAAAAATGAATATTGTTTAATAAATAATAATAACAAAAGTTTAATAAAATTCCTGGAAAAAGTTATATACGTGGTCAAATAAAATATAACTTTTTATTGACTTCCCAAAGAAAAAGTTTTTGCTAATTTTATATTTTTTCAACGTTTCAAGTCATTCTGAGTCGAATGAGATCAATTTTGCTAAAAACAGTGTGTGTGTCTGAGCCAATTTTTGACCTTTCATCGACATTTGCTTAAAAACGACTGAACCGATTCCAAAATTTTTTTGCAATTGGCAGAAAAATACAAAGGTTTTCAAATTACAACGACGTCGACGTGTCTAATAAATTCTTTTTATAATAAAATACATTACAAAATTCTAGAATATTTTTAATAGAATTAAGTATTTATAAAAAATTATTGAATTACTGAGATGACTATTACAAAATCGGAGATTGAAAAGAGACGTTTGTGTAATTTTCAATTTCGCCTTATAAAAAAGTCCAAAAAATTAATAAGTGTTAGAGGTTGACAAAAAGTCGAAATTTAGTGAAAAACATTCATTGAAAAAATAATTCGATTACTGATCATTGAATCGATTGAACTATTATTAAATAAGGGTGTTCTATAATTACGCATAATAAAAAAATTAAAAACATTTATATATATATACATGTTTTTAATTTATATATATATATATATATATATATATATATTATTTGTTTAGGTCAGAAAAACATGTTTTTCACAATTTCATTACGATCTATATAACAATATAGATCTAGACTATTTTCGAACAACAATATCTGCTTATTATTTAAACAAATAAAAAAATCTTTATATCGATGCGCCGTTTGCATAAATAATCAATTCTAATATAATATATATTTTATTGAAGAAGTTTACAATAAAAATTAGCATAGAATTTGAATCGAATAATTTATTCGTTTTACTTTATTTATTATTCTAATTTCGTCTGGTGTTTGTTGAAATAATTTTCGTTAGTTTCGGGAAAAATGAAGTTCTCATTGGAAGACATGATGACAGGTGAGATATATAGACTTATGGGCCTATTTTTGGAAAACATAGTTATTAGGGTGGTCCTTAAAATGGTCATTTTTGGATTTCCTTGCTCCCAAGGGCTCAAATGGTTCCAAATAAATAAAAAATAATTCTCTGAAATTTTTAGCTCTTAATATTAACGTTTAGATAGAGCGCAATTCAATCAAACTTCGTATGGAAAGAGCATGGAAAAATTTTTGAAAATTAAAAAAAAAATGTTTTAGGTATAACTTAGCGACAAATGAATGAGTTTTATTCATTCATTTGTTCGCTAAATTACATCTAAAAAACATTTTTAAAATTTTTAACTTCCCGTAGGGCAAGTTATAGTAATCGCAAAAAAATCGAAAATGAAAATTTTTATATATCTTTACGTTTCAAAGGTTTCTGAACATTTTGGCATACCTTAGAAAAATGGATGTATGTGTGTTTGTGTGTATGTGTGTGTGCGTGTGTGTATGTATGTGCGGATACAAATTTTCGTCGACGATTTCGGGAACACCGATCAACTGATATAAATAATTCAAAAAACATTCGATTCGTATTGATAAGGAGACGTGCTGATTAGTTTTTGGCGAAGGCAGGTCTAGCCGTTCCGAAGATACGGGGCAAAAAGTGCCAAAAACGGTAATTCAGTTTTTAAGAGAACGGAGCGTCCGATTTTAATAATTCAAAAAACATTTTATTTGTATTGACAAGATGAAGAACTGATCAAATTTTTATAAAGGCAGGTCTAGCGGTTTCGGAGATCTAATGAAAAAAGTAAAAAAAAAATGCCATTTTGCGGTCAAAAATGATCATTAGACATATGCACATTGAATTATCAGATATTTTATAGAGATTTTAACAATGTATAAACTTTGTTTACATTCCGTACCAATGATACTTGTTAGACGGCGGCGCGGCGCTTACGCGCTTTGACATTTTGTCTCAATGCAGTTAAAGCAGTACGATTGCTTCGAAAAAAAGTTCAGAATTTCCAAAATATGTCAAAATAAAGAAAACATTTCTTTTTCAAAAAAAAAAATTTTTTTCAAAAAAGTAATTTTTGTAAAGTAAATGTCTAATTCCTAGTTTCTCAAAAATGTAATTTTTTCGAAGTAATTTTTTTTCAAAAATGTTAATCGTTTTTAAAAAAATAATAATATTTGGTACGGGAAGTTCCAGCAATTTGCCTTAAGGCTAGATGCCATGCGCCCCATTAGTTGAAAATTTTTCCATGCTATTTCCATACAAAACTTTGATTGAATTGCGCTCTATCTGAAAGACAATATTATGAGCTAAAACTTTCAGAGAATTGTTTTTTATCTTGGGAGCAAAAAAATTCGAAAATGACCATTTTAAGGACCACCCTAATGGTTATGTTATGTTATCAGTCCCTTCCAAAGAAACGTATCATAAATTATTGATTGTTCCGAACAGTAAATCCAATAATAAAAAACAATTTGTTTTTTGAAGATGTTTAATAACGACGTTTCGGAACTAGGTACGTTCCATCATCAGCTTTATTCTGTCAAAGACAATGTTTTTTTAAAACTATTGATTAACATTAATTAATGATGGTCATTACAGATTAATTAGAAAAAAATATAAAGGAATGGATTATGTACCGGTGTAAAGAGTAATAAAAATTAACTAAAAAAGGTTTTATATAAAATTGAGAAGCAAAAATTATTTATCTGTAATAATTAATATATACATATCACTAATATTTTTTGTTAAAAACACTCGATTTTTTTAGGATATTTGTAGATGATACGTCTACACAAGACTTAAACACACTGATATGGAGTTCTGTCGGCCAGATGTAAGGGATATGTACGGAATTTAGGCAAAAACTAGCTGTAATTAAGGCATTAATTAAGGCATCGTGCCTTGAGGCAAATTGCTGGAACTTCCCGTACCAAAAATTATTATTTTTTTAAAAACAATTAACATTTTTGAAAAAATTTTACTTCGAAAAAATAAGATGTTTGAGAAACTATACATTGGACAAAAAATTACTTTTTTTTTGAAAAAAAAAAATTAATTTTTTTTTTTTAATTTTTTTTTTTTGAAGAAAATTTTTTTTTCTTTATTTTGACATATTTTGGAAGATCTAAACTTTTTTTCAAAGCAATCGTACTGCTTTAACTGCATAAAGACGAAATATCAACCGCGTAAGCGCCGCGTCGACGTCTAACGCGTATACATTGGTACGGAACCTATAGGAATGTAAACCAAAATTATACTTATTGTTAAAATCTCTATAAAATATCTGATAATTTGATGTGCATATGTCTAATGATCATTTTTGACCGTCAAATTGCATTTTTTTTTACTTTTTTCATTAGATCTCCGAAACCGCTAGACCTGCCTTTATGAAAATTTGATCGGTTCTTCACCTTGTCAATACAAGTAAAATGTTTTTTGAATTATTAAAATCGGACGCTCCGTTCTCTTAAAAACTGAGTTACCGTTTTTGGCACTTTTTGCCCCGTATCTTCGGAACGGCTAGACCTGCCTTCGCCAAAAACTAATCAGCACGTCTCCTTATCGATACGAATCGAATGTTTTTTGAATTATTCAAATCGGTTGATCGGTGTTCCCGAAATCGTCGACAAAAATTTGTATCCGCACATACATACATACACACACACACACACACACACACACACACATACATCCATTTTTTCTAAGGTATGCCAAAATGTTCAGAAACCTCTGAAACGTAAAGATATATAAAAATTTTCATTTTCGATTTTTTTGCGATTACTATAACTTGCCCTACGGGAAGTTAATAATTTTTATGGCTCTTGTATTGGTAATTTACGAAAAAAGAGGAAATATTGCTTTAGCAAATGTTGAGAAATATTATGTATATATACATGCACATGCATATGCACACCTACAGTATCATAAATTAGTTCATTACAGATTCGCTATTCTCGATGCTCCAATTTGATTTTGATAAATTTTATTTCGGATGTCTTTCTATTTCGATTTATATTTCTTTTTCCAGCTGCCGGTTCCTGGTTAGGCCTGACCGATTTCACGGACGCCTCCAACAGGGCGGTGACATGGAGAGCCTTTTTGGCGGAATTTGCTGGAACCGCCCTTCTGGTCTTCATAGGCCTTGCGTCTTGTCTGGGGGCTAATAGTACACATTTGGGGATAGCCGTTTCTTTCGGAGTGGCGGTTGCCACAGTGGTGGCGGTGAGTAGAAATAATATTAGAAAGGTACACCACCAAATAAGGGGGCGTCTATTAATCACGTAAAATTTTTAGGCGGAGAGGGGAGGGGGGGTTGATAAAAAATCACGAAATATCACGTGGGGGCGGGAGGGGTATAGTGAGATATCACGTGCATTTATTTATTACCTGAATTTTTTAAAAAATCCAAACATTTTCAAAAAAATCTTAAACTTTACAATTTTTTCTTGCAACTAAAAATTGAAAATTGTTTGGAGGGTAAGAGTGGGGGTTAAGCTAATTTTTAATATTACTATGTATCGCTAAGAGGAAGAGGGTGTCCAAATATCCTTAAAAAAACGATCACCTGATTAATGGAAGCACCCTTAACGATACTATTTTTCAAGTATTTGGCAACATATTTAGATCAATTTTTTAAAAAAATTATTTAAACATGGTTATCAGAGTGGTCCTTAAAATGGTAATTTTCGAATTTCCTTGCTCCCAAGGGCTCAAATGGTTCCAAATAGATAAAAAACAATTCTCTGAAAGTTTTAGCTCTTAATATTAACGTTTAGATAGAGCGCAATTCAATCAAACTTTGTATGAAAAAAGCATGGAAAAATTTTGAAAATTAAAAAAAATGTTTTTGGTATAACTTAGCGATAAATGAATGAGTTTTATTTATTCATTTGTTCGCTAAATTACATCTAAAAAACATTTTTAAAATTTTTGAAAATTTTTCCAAGCTATTTCCATACAAAACTTTGATTGAATTGCGCTCTATCTAAACATTAATATTAAGAGCTAAAACTTTACAATTTTTTCTCGCAACTAAAAATTGAAAATTGTTTGGACGGTAAGAGTGGAGGTGCAGCTAATTTTTAATATTACTATGTATCGCTAAGGGGAAGAGGGTGTCCAAATATCCTTAAAAAATCGATCACATGATTAATGGAAGCGCCCTTAATGATACTATTTTTCAAGTATTTGGCAACATATTTAGATCAATTTTTTAAAAAAATTATTTAAAAATTTATCTCTCATTACATACCACTGAAATGTAGATAAAATTATCTACAAATCTGTGTGTAAAAATTAAATAATTCAGAACAAAATTATATTAAAAAAATTAATTAAATTTTAAAATTGAATACCAAGCCACTTGGTTAAACTAAAATATCGAGTTCTCTGGTTACATTTTTTTATATTTTGATCAATTTCGTAAAGAATTTGTTCAAACATGTATATATTATTAAATATCATTATAAGGTAGATAAAATTTACTACAAATCTGTGTATAACAATTCAAAACGTTTAGAACAAAATTATATTAAAAAAAAATTAAATTTTGAAATTGAATATCGAGCAACTGGTTTAAACCAAAACGACGAGTTGTCTGGTTATATTTTTTTATATTTCGATCGATTTCGTAAAGAATTTGTTCAAACATGTATACATATATTGTTAGATATCATTATAAAGTCGATGAAATTATCTATAATCTGTGGTTAAAAATTTAAATCGTTTGAAACAAAATTATATTAAAAAAGTTAATTAAATGTTAAAATTGAATACTTAAACTGAAGATATTTAAGATTATAATTGAAGAAAGTATTTCTTAGCGTTGTTAGGTTTTTTGGTTTTGAGCACTGTTGTTTAGTTTACGATACCTGAATGTAATTTTTAAGTATACGTTATATAATCATGATACGTGGTGATACTCAAAATTACACACGCGTATTATAGTTACGAGAAAAAATTGTAAAATGTTTAATTTTTTTTGAAATTTTTTGAAATTTTTGAAAAAAAAAATCGTGTAAAAATAAATACACGTGATATCTTACTATAATCCTTCTTCCTCCACGTGATATCTCATGATTTTTTGCCAAGCGCCCCCCTTCCCCGCAAAACCTCACGAGATTAATGGGCGTCCCCTAAAACAGCTTTTCAAGAAAATTTCAAATTTTTTTAGAAAATATCAAGGTATAACAAAAATTTCGAAATAAAAAAAAATGGAATTTAAAAAAAATCATTTTTTTTTTAAAAATTCAAAATTCTATAAGCTCAATTTTTCCAAAGTTTTCAAAAAATTTTAAAAGTTTTTCAAAAAATTTAATTTTCGATACGAAAAGTTCCAGCAATTTTCCTCAAGGCACGATGTCATGCACTACTAATTTTTAAGATTGAACCGTTTTTCTTACATAACCTTTCATGTGGTTGGACCAGTTGAACCTTTACACTGGTTCTCCATCATTCAGCTCACATACATCCAGTATTCTTTTATTCATTCATCATTAATAAGCTATAGAGACTCGTCATCCCGTCGACTAGTTTTTCCATTTTCTCGAAATCGTGATAATCGAGTCCTTCACCTGACGGGGATTGAACTCGGGGACCTATCCACCTCTGACGACCTTTCAGGCGGTAATCGTCGTCAACGAAGCCGCCGCCGCCGCCGCCGCTAATGGGTCGCTTGACCGCAAGATCGAACACGATGCACTTGCAAATTGGAAAAAAATAAAAAAATAACAGTGGTGGCCATTTAGGCATAGACTTTATATTACATGGACTGCGTGTCGAGCGCAAATAAGTGCCCAAACATAGATGGGTATGTGACGTCACATGCCTGAGCGAACGTTGCCGACGACAGTCGCGGACTCTCCCTATTGATTAAATGTCATATGTCCCCTTCTCTTAAAAGCCTCACGTGATTAATAGAGCCCCTATACTGTGGTGAAACTTTTTAAAATATGTCAATATATGTTTGTATAAATTTATTATGACGTTTATACCCGTAAATACACAAAACTCTGTCACTTCTCCGTGTTTTTTTTTTCTTTTTTTTTTTTTTTTTTTTAACTCGTTTTATTTAGCAATCAGAAATACATAAAAATTCCTATGAGCTAAAATGACAATATTTAAGAGCGATGCCTAAGAAGAGCTCCAATGAGATCTTCTCAGTTTACAATTACTATGATAATATTATATTAGACCTAATCTAAGACTAAGTCTAAAGGCCATTGTCGTTTCAATCTCCTTATGCCATAAGGTTTAGTAATATCAACTATATACTTCTCCATGATGAGTACACAAGTCAATCTAAAACTGGTTAAAAGTGTTATCACTTTATTTGTACATTTTATAATTGCTACAGATTCCGACCCTCTAGTTGTGTATCCCTGCTATAATTATTATTAACCATTCACGCCTTTTACGTGTACAGTAATGATTTATGTGACTAATTGCTAATTAGTGAGCTTAGCAAAAGAAAATTTTAAATACATAATATACAATATTGGAATTTAATGTTTTTAGAATGCCGACATAAATATGCAAAAGCGTTTAGTAATATTTTGAAAAAAAAATGGATACTATTAATTAGTTTTAGATAAAAAATATTCTTATAAATAATTTTCTAACATGTATGAATAATCGATTTATTTGATTTATATAATTATAATTATAATTTGATTTATATAATTATAATTTGACTTATATATGATTTATCTATGCTGGTATTAATTCAGTTTTAAAAAAAACGGAGCATCCGATTAGAATGATTCAAAAAACATTTTATTTGTATTGACGAAATGAAGAACTGGTTTAATTTTGGCAAAGACATGTCCTGCGGTTTCAAAAAAAATTGTAATATGGTGGCTAAAAATGATCGTTAAAATTAATAGTTATTAATTCATATACAAATAGAATGGTATATACATAAAAAAGTAAGCAGGTAGATAGATGGATAGGTAGTAAACGGGTAGAAAGGTAAACTGTTCAGATTAAATTTTCAACTTCCTACAGAGTAAATTATAGTAATCCCAAAAATAATGCAAATTTTATTATTTGTCCACGATTTCGAGAGCACGGATCAACCAATTTGAATTATTCAAAAAACATTCGAATCGTATTGACAGTGAGACATACTGATTGAGTTCTAAATAATTTCTTGTTTCAAATAATAATTTGATTTGTATATGATATTTACAAAGCAGGTTCATCCGTTTTGGAGATACAGAGCAAAAAAGTACGAAAAATGAGCGTTTTTTTAATAATGGAGCATCTGATTAAAACTATTAAAAAAAGGTTCGTATTGACAAAAAGACGTGTTGATTGGTTTTTGGCTAAGGCAGGTCCAGCAGTTTCGGAGGTACGGTGCAAAAAGTGCAAAAATAGCAGTTTTTGAAGAAACGGGGCATTCGATTACAATGATTCAAAAAATGTATTTTTTGTAGGTGTTAAGAAAATACACCCAGGCCTCGCTATACGGCCGCTCTTTATACGGCCTTTCGCTATAACGGCCCCCTTTAATTAAGGAACGTTTTCGATATACGGCCTAAAATGTTTTGCTATAACGGCTTTTTTTAACTTCGCATAGTGCAAGTTACAGTAATCGCAAAAAAATCGAAAATAAAATTTTTTATATATCTTTACGTTTCAAAGTTTCAAACTCGTTTCAATTCGTTTTGGAAAAACTATAATATCAAGAATGCTGTTGAGAACATTAGTGAATCTCGGAAGAAATTGAAATCGACAACAATGAACCATGTTTGGAGAAAAAATATGGCCAGAATGTATAAAAACTACCGATGCAGAAGTTAATTTCCTTTCTAAAGTTAGACAAAACATTTTGGATTTAGCACATTATCTCGGTTTTGAAGATTTAAACGAATCTGATGTGCTGGATCTACTTGCAGCTGATAGGGAACCCCTTTCATATGAGGAACTCATTCAGTTGCAAGCAGAGCCGGCAATTGATGAAGAAGATACAGAACCTGTTGTATCCAAACAGCTAACATCAAAAATCATGTCGAGCGCTTTTTCATATTTTGAACAAGGGAATAAATCACTAAAGAAAGAAATAGACAAGAAGGCGAGACAAACAACTTTAGACAAGTTTTTTAAACCACCAGCGCAAAATGATGGTGACAGTGATCTGTAGGTTTTAGTTGTTTCATTTTTATTTGAAAATTATGTAATGTTTTTGAAGTTTTTTATTTTATGTAAAATTTATGTTCTTG